ACAATAGGAAAAGAAACATCATGAAGATAGAATATGCATGTGTCAATGAGTTCTCTTTGGAAAGGAAGCAAATAACACAATGTCTATCACTGTTTGGCTAGTGCTTCCTGAATAACCTCACTACATCCACTCAGCTCCATTTGACTGAGAACCTGACTGATGCGCTGCACAGTAGCATCACGGTTTGCCAACAGTCTCCATTCTTTTAGCATCTCATATTGTGCATCCCGCACATGCCGTTGTTCCATAAAAATTCTCTCAATTGTATTTTCACTCAGTCCCAAGTATCTCACAAATTCCTTCCACCGGGACATTGGTACACGATCCACCACAGTATATAAAACCACAGGACCTGGGGGAAAAACATACAGGAAAAATCAAATAGTGATATGGAGGCTATTATTCCTCCGTCAGTCCACCACTTTAAAACATTTCTGTTAAGCTTTCATAGTTTTGAGGACAGAGAGAAAAAGGTGGTTTCCTTTGCTACCATTCAAAAATTGCATCTAGCATTTCTATCTTTCCCTTAATACCAGATTCTCTATGGTAAGAATGATATTTAAGTTTTAGGTAGATATAAGAACATTAGAAATAGAAGGCAACAACTTGAGCACCCATATAGTTATTTGAATGAGACAGGCAACCTAATGTGGAAGCATTAAACCCATTCCATTATAATCTTAAGATAATACCTCCCCCATTAAGCATCTATATTCAGTATTTCTACCCAGATAAGTAATTATATAGACATTATGAAAATAATCTATTAGAAAAAAGATTATCAAACTAAGTAATGGCCACTATATTTGACTAAAAGTACAGGTAGTCCTCAACTTACAACCATTCATTTAACAACCCTTTGAAGTTATGACGGTGCTAAAAACAGTGACTTACAACCTCATGCTTACAACCATCACAGTGTCACCACAGTCACGTGATCAAAATTCAGGTGCTTGGCCATTGACATGTATTTACAACACTAAAAGTACAGGTAGTCCTCAACTTACAACCATTCATTTAACAACCCTTTGAAGTTATGACGGTGCTAAAAACAGTGACTTACAACCTCATGCTTACAACCATCACAGTGTCACCACAGTCACGTGATCAAAATTCAGGTGCTTGGCCATTGACATGTATTTACAACAGTTGCAGCATCCCGGGGTCATGTGATCACCATTTGCGACCTTCCCAGGAGGCTTCCAACAAGCAAAGTCAATGGGGGAAGCCGGATTTGCTTAATGATTGTGGCAAAAAGATAATAAAATCAGGCATGACTCACTTAACAACTGCACTGCTTAGTGACAGAAGTATATATTGGTCAACTCAAGGCAGTGAACATACCTAATACTATGCCTTCTCAACATGTACTTTATGTTGAACATATAAAAAATGCCTTCTCAACATAGATTAATTAGAAGTATATGATAGCAGACAGTGTGTTGCCAGTAAGCTGGCCTGCAAGGCCAGCTGATTTTGAACAATAACATAAATTACAATTAGATGTGCTACTTTTGGTTAAACCTAAGGTAATACCTGGATAGTACTGAGACCTGGTTGGGTAGTAATGTGGATGTTGCCCTGTCAGAGATCTGCCTTCCTGGGTTTTAGGTCCTGTAGCAGGAAATAATGGCCCGGGGAGCTTTTGCCCATTTTAGGCTGATGCACCAGTTATAGCCTTATCTGGACCAAAAAGTCTTAGCACTGATAATCATCCCTTGTCACTATGAGTCTTGAGTACTGCAGTGTGCTCTACATTGGGACACTTTGGAAGGTGACTCAGAAGCTGATAAATAGGGTCTTACATCAAATTTGGATCATCAAATGGGTTGGATGAGAAAAATAGAAGGTGCAAATAGTTCTTTTTATTTAAGTTTCTCTGTATTTCTTCATAACATTTGAGTAAGATTTCCTTCCCCCTGCTTCTTGGTCTTTTGATGTGGCACCAGCTTCCATATGTCATCTTGGTAGATATACTGCACAAATAATTTATAGTTCCTGTCACCCACTCCCCTTCCCCACCCCACTATTTCTTAAAGGAAGCTGCACTTACAATCAGAAATTGGGGTCTCTCTTGCAGATTTTATGCAGTCTGGCAGTTCTTGACCTTGGCCTTGACCTAGTGGTAGTACTTGTGCGGTACCCCAGACCTTGTCTTCTTTTATGTCCAAAAGAGAATTCTTTGCTTTATCTGCAGTCTAAGTAACAAGAAGGACACATATAGCCTGTTAGGAGCAATAACAGACATCATCTGGACCTTCCCCTCTTGCTGCATGTAGAAGACTGGATTAGAGGAATGGTGAACATGCCCGGAATTCCATAATTATGTACTGTGAATGGAGTGGTATGAGAAAAGAGCAAGACAGAAGAAAGGAACATTTATTTTGCCTGACTTCTTTCATGGAAGGAATGGGCCCAATCCATGGTTTTATGTAATCCATTAATCATGAGGCAGCTGGAAACCAAGAAGGCCAAGCATACAAAGTTTTGAGGTACAGGATGTGCAGGAGCAAACCTTGAGCAGTCTGCAGAGAGCACTTCTGCAACTAATCATTGTGAAGATGTATCTTTGCTTATCATAAAGAAATTTCTTTACACTTGAGTTCCACTGAATTCAAGGGGCTTACTTCAAAAAGAGTTTAAATGCAAGTTTGTTGTATTTATTAATTTATTTTTGGCCTGAAAGGGAGAGTCTAGCTCAATCTGAGTCACCCCTTCCTCCTGGAAAGTCAGTATGATGTCATAGTAAGAAGTTAGATTAGAACATGGTTCAATGCTGCCTTCAACCATGAAAGTTCACTATATGACTTTGGGCCAGCCACTCTCTCTCACAGATCAACCTACCTCCCCCAGGTTGTTGTTGTAGGACAGATTAGAAAGGAGTGCTGTGTACACTCCCTTTTGTTTATAAATAATGAAACTAAATACTACCTCCACGCATTGGCAACATACAATATTGGTGACTGAATTTATAATTCACTGGCATTGCAACAAGGACTCCTTAATACTCCCACAGGGGAATTATTGCATTAGCAATATCAGAACATATCACCTCACTAGGAACCATCAGATTTGATTAAACCTGCTCCAGGTTTAGTAATAATAATAATGGTTAAGACCAGGGTTATTTATTTATTTATTTATTTCATGTATCAAAGTTGTCACCACCCATCTCGTTAAAAAAACGACTCTAAGCACTTACAAAACAGTTAAAATCAATTAAAATTACAATATAAAATAATCCTAAATAAATAGAAAATAAATATAATCCAAGGATAGATGTTAAACTGGCAGTAACCAGGGGAGCATCATCAAGGCACCAGCCACCCCAGGATTGGGTAAGATCATCTCGTTAAAAAAACGACTCTAAGCACTTACAAAACAGTTAAAATCAATTAAAATTACAATATAAAATAATCCTAAATAAATAGAAAATAAATATAATCCAAGGATAGATGTTAAACTGGCAGTAACCAGGGGAGCATCATCAAGGCACCAGCCACCCCAGGATTGGGTAAGATTCTTGTCACTCCATGCAAGCTGGCAGAACCAGATCTTTAATCCTTTCTGGAAAGCCAGGAGGGTAGGGGCCTGCCATACCTCTGGGGGGAGAATATTCCAGAGGGTGGGGGCAACGGCAGAGAAGGCTCTCCTCCTAGGCCCTGCCAGCCGACATTCTCTCACTGACGGGGTCTGCAACATGTCCTCTCTGCCTGACCAGGTAGGACAGGTTGATGTGATGGGGGTGAGACAGTCTCTCAGGTAACCTGGACCCATGCCATGTAGGGCTTTAAAGGTAATAACCAACACTTTGAATTGGACCTGGAAGCTTACCTCTTTTTTTACTACAATTCATTATGGTCTCTTCACCAAAGTTTTAGCGCTAACAGCCTCAGTGCTTAAAATGGTTTATATTAAGAAAGTTATACCCATGCTGGCTGTGTTTATTATTTTATTTTATTTTATTTATTTTAATAACTCTTATTTAAGACTGATCAGTGACTGAAATGTCATTTAAATGTATTTTATATATATTCACTACTTTTCTTCTCTTCAGTTGTCCCTGTATCCCAACTTCCTCCACTGCAGGAGTCTTTTCAAAGAACCTCCAGCTTAGCTATCATGAATGCAGTCACAGATTAAGAATAGAAGTCCAGTGTAAGAACTCCCTCTTGAATTGGAATGTTGCAGGATGATGCTACATTAGCATGAATGGTTCTTTTCTCAACTTTACATCTAAATATGATATCAAAATAATCCAAGAAACCTAATGCACTAATGTGATAGTGGTAGATGGTTTCAGTTCAGGGTACTGGAAACTGAAGCTAGGGAGAAATGAGGAAGACCAAAAGGAGATCTTGGATTATTGGTTTCCACCACTCTGAATATAAGTCCTGTTAGATACTCTACATTTAAACAATACACACTGACAGTTGCTGTCTACTTTAGCTATGATATCTTACTAGTGATTAGTATACAAGTCTCCAATTACAGTAGATAATTTTCATAACTCAGGCATCTATGAAAGGAGTTGGAGACCTATTTATTGGATCTTCTATCTGCTTTCCAGGATGCTTTTATAGTGATGGCTGGAAACATTAACACTAAAATAGGGTTTGAGTATGACTTTCTATATGCCAAATTCCAGGGCTGTTTTCCTGCTTCTGAAATGGATGTAATCTCTCTGGTAAGATGGTCAAAGGATATGAAATCAGCAAGTAGGTTTCTCTCTGGCTCCGATGGTCTAACCTCCTTCATAACAGTTTCCAAACTACATGGAAGAAGGCATTAATGGTGAGGTGAACATGCTAGGGTTTTACTTGGCTAGCCTGTATTCTTTGGGATATGAAAAGGATTGCACTATGCTGCAGCACCAAATTCTGAACACCCAAGAAGCTAGGCTGGGTATCTAGTGTGCCCTGAGAAACGGAGGCAATACAGTAGTAGCACCAACAGTGTACCTCTGGCATTCAGCAGCCCCGAAGCAGAGAAGAGTTTTACACTGATGTGTTGGAATGCTTTTACTTTTGCTATTTCAGAGGAAAGTATAAGGAAAAGCCATATATGAAACATCTCTGCCACTGTAAACCTGGGCAAATTAAGATTGCTGAGCACATCCTTCTTCAATGCCTGTGTCAGAACCTGCATCAATCAAATGCTATTTTAAAAAGTTATAGCAATGGGTATTTGCTTGATTTGATTCTGCCATTTGTATTTGGAGGGGGAGTGGTAGTTTATAGTTGTGTTTGAGTTAATGCTATGAGATGGAGAGGCGCTCAAACTGATATGGAAATTTAAAGAAAGACCTGAATGAAGACAAAAAAA